TAAATGATGCTAACATTGGGACTGGTATCAGCCAGGAAAGGTCAGAGGATTCAACCTCCAAAATGTCAAAGGGAGTCCCCACAGCGCCTTATTACACTATAATTTCATGGGGTGCTCAAGTGAGGAAAGATCATAGTAGTACCGACCTCACGTTAGACTCCAGACTCAGTAACTGAGCACAGCTTAACAGAAGCAAGCTGTACTCATCTGCTATGACGGATCTGTTCCATCAGACCAACTGGAAACCCAACATTTTTCCATGGCAAGAAAACCAAGCTGAGATTTGTCTACAGGTGCTCCCCTTTATTCCAAATGACTTGAAGGGAAGAAAGAGATAATTTCTAGTGGTTTCTGAATTAAAAAAAAAACCACCAACAGAAAGTGAAAAAGGTTGAGTTTTTGTCACCACCTGGAATTTGGTGACTGATTTAAAACTGTAGGAGAGAACAATATTCCTTCAGTCCCTTCAGGCCCTAAGCTAACTGAATTTGCCAGGAAGCAAGGGGTAGAAAGTAAAATAAAAACCAGTTCATGTCATTGCTACCTAGTCCTGATGCACTCAATGCTCTTTTCAAACCACAGTCTTCTGCTCAGAAAGGTTTGCTTTTTCTACTCATCCAAGTAATCCCTGTGTTCATCTTACAGAAGTTTTTGCCTTCAGGAGGACTTTATGTTCAGGGTGACATTATCAAGGAGGTTCTCCCTTTGTACCTGTCAATCAATTCCCAGTGGGTCAAGGAAGGACATGTTTTTGTCCTTCACCCACACCGTTCTGTGCACAGAACTACTCAGCAGTCTTCTGTCCTTCTTAGGAGCTGTAAGAACCAACAACATCCACTAAAGAATTCAACAGAAAAACAAACAAATGAATAATCATTAGGTGCCAGAGTGCTAAGGATGAAGGAAGTAGTGGAGCCATGGGGTGAACCCTGGAAAAGGCTACGGTCTCAATAAGAGTAGCATTTACCAGAGGGCAGGAACATTCAGTTCGGTGAAAGGAAGTATACGAGCAGAAATTACAGGAGCTCGTCCGCTAACAGGCATAAGGCAAGACACAGTTATGCCATTTTCGGCCTAATCAGTAGTGATAATGTTTAAACTCGGAACAGCATGTAATCCACAAATACCAATCTGGCTCACAGTCTGATGAACTATATCATGGAATCCAAAACACTTCAGTCCTTTACACTGTTGAAAGTTCACACTGTTCAGACTCTGAAGAGAGAAGTCTCAGTGAATGGTAAACATGGAAAAAAACCCCAAGAAGCACAGGCTAAACACCCACACTCATCAGGACTAAACATCACCTGAGTCCCTAAGAGTCATCCACTCAAAAAAGAAAGAAGCCTCCTTTCATTACTGTCATTTAGGGAGAAGTAACAAGATCACTCTCAAATTAACCCCCAAGGTCTCCATCCACAAGGAAACAGCCTGGAATTGTGTTCTGTGAGGCTTGTTGAAACCAGACCACACTACGCGAGACCTGCGCCGTCTGCAGGGAGTTTTCAACAGAGTATTTCACCATCTACTAAGCCTCATCAAAACACCGAAAGGTAGTTATTGTGCTAACCTTTTAATTATGCCTTGCACAGTTTATTAATTATAAATAATCCCCATGATCTTACAACAAACAAGGTTTACAGACTGCAACAAAAAGTGGAAGTTTGTTTAGGTTTTTTTAGCTTCTATATTTACTTGAAAGACATGCCAAATTTAAGAAAGAATTCCTTTTGTAACTTGACTTGTCAGTTACAAGGATAGAGTGCAATTTAACTTATTCTTTATGGATCAAAAACTAACCAGATTCTATCCATGCCATAATGAAGTCCCATGGAAAACATTTCTCCATAAAAAACAGATAGGAAATAGGTTTCTGTCTTTAAAGCATACGTATGCAAAACAACTCACTTCAGAAATGGTATTTAACATAAAAATGGTAAAAGCTTGATTGAGCAGTTGCATAAAGCAGCCTTAAACCTTTACTAGTTTTGCTCAGTCCAGCACGATGAAGAACCAAAGGGCATGTTCTGCTATAAACAAAACAGAAGCAACTAAAGCAACTCAAAAAAAAAAACCAAAAAGAAAAAAAGAAAAGCTAATTCACCATTCAGTTCCATGAAGTATTTTAAGGCATACATGGATCCAAGGATTTAATAACCAGCATTTATCATATGTGCTGATAACAACAGGACAACATTGCTGATGCTAACAGTCTGAGAAGCAGCAGAACAGTCCCAGAGACTGCCTAAATGAAAGCCTAATCAGCAGAACAGTACCAGAGACAGACGAAAAGCTGGACATGAGCCGGCAGTGTGCGCTGGCAGCCCAGAAAGCCAACCGTATCCTGGGCTGTATCCAGAGAAGTGTGGCCAGCAGGTCGGGGGAGGGGATTCTCCCCCTCTGCTCTGCTCTTGTGAGACCCGACCTGGAGTGCTGCGTCCAGGTGTGGAGCCCTCAACATCAGAAGGATATTGACCACTTGGAGCGAGTCCAGAGGAGGCCACGAAGATGCTCCGAGGGCTGGTGCACCTCTCCTATGGGGACAGGCTGAGAGAGTTGGGCTTGTTCAGCCTGGAGAAGCGAAGGCTCCGGGGAGACCTTATTGCCGCCTTCCCGTACCTGAAGGGGGCCTACAAGGAAGCTGGGGGGGGACTTTTTACAAGGGCCTGTAGTGACAGGACAAGGGGTAACGGGTTCAAATTGAAAGTGGGGAGGGTTAGATTAGATATCAGGAAGAAGTTCTTCCCGGAGAGGGTGGTGAGGCACTGGAAAAGGTTGCCCAGAGCAGCTGTGGATGCCCCATCCCTGGAAGTGTTCAAGGCCACGCTGGATGAGGCTTGGAGCAACCTGGTCTAGTGGAAGGTGTCCCTGCCCATGGCAGGGGGGTTGGAACTAGATGACCTTTAAGGTCCCTTCCAACCCAAACCATTCTATGAATCTATGATTCTAAATGGTGTGTTAAAATGCAAGAAAAACCAAAATGTATGTAATTCCAAACTCTCGTTTCATACCCATACCAGAATGGCAATCATTTCACTATCCTATTATTTTATAACAAACATCCAGCCATTTTCATTCCTAGTCATATCTGGCACAGCTCTGAAATTGTCACCCTCATGTGATATGCTTCTGTATCTAAAGAGGTGAACCTAAGATACCTTTCATGAACAGAGTTGTGCTGACAGTCAACTGAATTGCATCTCACAAAATCTGAAGCGGTAACAGAATGTTTAGTTCCAGTTAGCAATCATTTCAAGCAGTGAGAAACCAATGGCTGGTTTACCGAGCACTTCCAGTACTTTGGTAGTTTATGTGCCACAGTGACTTTAGCAGCATCAGGTGACATGTACACATATATTCAAAGCAACAGGAAACGCACATAGGAGTTTACAGGAACCTAGTAAATAACAATTTGAAGCTCTCTCCTGTATTCTTCAGAACACTTACGTAAGTTTCCCAAACAGTAATGCAACTTTTAATAATCAAAATCACATACTTTATCTTTTTATTTTCTCCTTTCTTTTGATGCAATTTGTTCTCCAAAATAATGGTACACAGGACAGCTTTATGAAATGTTCCTGCCCTCATGAACTGCTCTGTCCCCAAGAGAACAAACTGACTAAACTTACAGATATGCTGTTTAGAAAGCCACTTTCTTATCTATGGCACACCCTTCATTTTTTGGGAGTAACACGCTTAACCATCTGCAGTGATGATCTAACTATGAAATTCCTGAATGACAATACAATTAAGATAACAATCAGAGGGCTCTAGATTGTCGTGATAAATCTTTTTAGCTATTGAGTTTGCTGCAAAGGGTTAAAGGTGTTATTTACTGCTAGGAAGGCCCTGCATTGCAACCCTTTTGCATTTAAGCGTGGCAAGGAGCAAGAGGGCTGTGTAGTTACACAGCAGATACAGAGCATACTTGCCTGCTTCCACACCCTTCCTCCTTCACTGACTTCCCATTTGAATCTCATCAAGAATTTCAGAAAGATCTAAAATGCACTTTTAGTAAACAATTCCATGGGGCTGCAGAACCTGAACACTGCCTGAAACAAAGGACTTGAGACACTGGCTAACAGAAAAGAGACACCTGTTGAAAGACAAGTACTCAGGCACAGAATACTGAAGAACAGTTGAAAATATAGTCTGCATCTCTGTGACACACAGACATCAGGAAGTGTGATTTAGATCAGTAGCAACTGAGAACTTTGCAGGCTTAGTTCTAAACATTCCTGGCTTTTAACTCTTTTATCCATAAATATGTTAAAATCTCAAATCTCAGAAAACTAGAAAAACCAATAATGTACCAGGACTTACACATCAGCAGCAAAAGAAAGGTTAACACTTCAAAGCTATTAATGAGCTGAATATGTGGTCTTCCGTGGTGAACAAATATTAATTATATGAAGTATCTGAAAACCAGCCTAATACTGTGCTATTTATTTTAGTGAAATTTAAGGTAAGAAAGTATCACTTATACTTGAAGAAAACTCAAGGGGACTAGAAATCTGCTTATGAAGGACCATCCTATTTGCTTCTACTAGTCATGCAAAAACAGCATACACAGAAGACTGCAGGAAATCCACCTTTCCCTAAGAAGCATTCATCCTCACGTCTTCCTGTAATTTCTGTCCGTCAGAAAACTACCTGTTACTGTAACTTGGACCGTACCGATTTTTACAAAAGCATGTTTAATAAATATGGTCACGATTGACCTGTCATTCTTTTTAAAGCTCTTATAGATCTGACTCAGGAAAGTATCTTACTGAGGCTAGCAATTTCCCTTTCATATTAATTTGAAATTACACTACATGGAATGTCACAGGTTTGCGGAATTTGTTACATAACTAAATGATTTACAAGAACACATTTAGAGTTACGTTTCCTCACACTATAGTCTGAGAAGCTCTGCAATGTACTATGCACCAGACTACACACTACAGTTTCCCTAGCTGGGAGCTGTAGAGGGAAGGCAGGAAAGAACAGACACTTACCTTTTTTCATTCCCATACGATTTCTGCGCAACTTTTGCATGGAGTATTAGCACTGTTTGATCACCTCGCTCCTTTAGGTAATTTCGCATTGCTTCCCTAAAAATTAAAAGACAGAATAAGCTCTGAAAATTCTTTTGGTTTTGTCTGTAATAAACCAAAGACAGATTTAGGACTAGAAAACCCACCAAGCCACCTGAAATTCAAAAATGGCAACTCATCACAATGAGTTTGGTTTGGTTTTTAACACAATTAGACAGCAAAAAGAAGCAATTCCCTTGCATGAAGCTAGCAGTAGGGATCTGTGGTCATTTACAATTATTATGTTTTCCAGAAAAGATGATGCATGTGATGTAAAATCATACCAATGCCACTCACTACACCATGTTCAAAGCCTGATTTTGTAAAGCACACAATATTTGATAGGAACACACCTTATTAGTTGAATATTGGCTCCTTAACCAATTTAGTCTCTCGTGATAATGACAAATTGTTCTGAAATTTCGTTTAAGCTATTAACTAAACCAATGTAATATTTATATAAAGTTTCCTTTTGGTTGTGAAGATACTAAGAAAAAGTTAAACTCTTCATCTTACTGTTTTCTAGAGAAAGCTTCTACTTCCTGTATACAACCAGGTAAAAGAAAATTACCGTTTTCTATCATTCATCATCACTGTAATGACAGATGTCATACAGAAGCTATAATTACCCCAAACACACCGCCAGTAGTGCCTTGAGAGAAGTAAAAGAACAATACACCCTATCATTCTTCTGTATAATAATCTAACTTCTCATCAAGCAGCATGCCATATTCAACACCTAAGGGTTTAGCTGTGTCAAGAGTGCTGACAGGAACACCCTAAAGTCCCTGGGGGAGCTTTCGCAGGTTGAATGCCCACCAGTGCACCCATCTTCAAAGTCATCAACCAGAAAAACAAATTAGAAATTTAACAGCAAGTTACACGGACAGATGAAGCCCTACAGAAGAAAGGGTTTTGGGGTGGTTTTCTGGTTTTGGTGTGTGGTGGGGTTTTTTTGGTTGGTTGGTTGGTTTTTTTGGTGAACTGCATCCAACTGCTGAATTCCCTTTGGACAGATCTAGAAAATCAAACATTTCCAGTGAAAAAAGATGGAACATAAAAAGCAGCATTTTGTTGACAAGGCCTTTTCCAAAAGAAATCCCCACATATACCATCACAGTGGAAAGCAAGTAGATTGGGTTGTGGGGGGCCTGGGAAGGGATCTGTCATGCCTGCATAAACCAGCCATCAGTGTGCTAGATTTTCCCGTGTAAACAGCAGGATAAGAGCAAAGACTTGAATTACTGTTTTAAATTTGAACTAACTTGATCTATTTACATTTGACATCAGTAAAACTTATGTTTATCCATGAAAGCAGAGATGGAAGAACTGTCTCAAAGCACACAGACTTACTTAATTTACAACCATTGTTTAAGAATGTATTTTAAACCACAAAACATAATTCACTGTGACATTATGATTATACATTTCATTATGATATATATTAGCTGCATTTAAATGGTTTAAAACCTTTTCTCTGACAATCTGAAATACACTATTAAGAATATTGTTACACGAAATTAAGAACATCCATAATACTCAGAACTTTTGACTTGATTACCATTAAAAACCCGCTCAAAACCAGCAACCCACGCACAGAAATACTAGGTGCTATCTAATATTTATTTAGCACTGTATGAGGAAGAAATTCTGCCTTTTCTACTAGTCTGTTGCTACAGTGGACTTACACAATCCACTGGGAGAACTAGGAATGTTCCCCTCCAATCCCTCCCGCTGACAATGAAAACACATAACCATTGCATTTCTTGCATGACGTTTTTCATTATTAAATTTTGAAACTGTCCACAAAGGTAGTACTACTATAGTTTACATCTAAAATCAACTAGCACAGTAGCAACAAAGTAATGCTGTTTCAGTAGGCCTTGCAGTGACAATGAATAGGTTATTAGACAAACTGGAAAGCCTTTATACAAAAAAGCAGAATAAAACAAAATGCCTGTAAAGGTTTCGGGATACATTTTTTAGTATGACAAACAAATCATATTCCTAAAAACTGTGTGTGAAGGTTTTACCATTTCAGCATTTTTCTCTTCAGAGGTAAAAAGTTAGGTTGCTTTCCAGCCTTTATCAGTATCAAAAAGGTTTACAAGCACTGCTTTGAAGGATGGCTAGTAGTTCCCAGATCCCTATCCTGTAGGATATCCAGGTACAGGAGAGTACCTGGCACATTTAGTAACTAAAATCCTGCAGATGAAGTTAAAAATCACTACAGTTAATAGATAACTTTGTTAAAAGACTTTACACTGAATAGGCATTTTTATTGTTTGTTGTTTCAGTTTGGTTTGTAGTGGGTTGGGGTTTGTTTTTGTTTTTAATAATAGCTGATAAATTCTATAGGTAACTTCAGGGCGATATTAACAGGTGTTACTGCTGAAGACAGGAAACAGTTCAATCCTTAAAACTTCCTATCTTTAAATACACCTGCATGTAGGTATGCCAACAGGGAACAACGTTTGTTCAAATACTTGTAAGTCAGCACAGATCAATTTTGCATTGAAATTAAGTCACAATGACACAAGCTAGTGTGAAGCTTACCCAGAAATGTAATGAGACAGATATCCCCAACACAAAATGTAAACTTCCCTCCCCCAGTGTTTTACATGAGGCATCATAATTTCATTCCAAATAGAAGTAGGACAAAGGGTTTCCATGCCTTTATACAGCACTATTACCCCACAAAGCATTTTAAACACAGTACCTACTTAGAGTCAGCACAGTTCGTGACACAGAATAATAAATATTTGCACAGACTGTGTTACAACAGCTGGAAAAAACTGCGACTACTTAACAGCTTCTACTATAAATACTTCCCAGGCAGATAGGAGCAAATCAGGCACAGTGCTCCAGGCGTGGAGTACACAGTACTCTGAACGCTTTTCAGAATGGACTGACCTGGTGGTACTATTCGATGCCATCTCTGACTGCTCAGGTTTCACCAAAAATTGGTTAAGAACATTCCTCAAAGGGACTGTATTCATTTTGCTCTTACCTGCTGCACGACAGCAGTAATGCAATAGCTGAATTTTGGTAGTAAAAAGTGTTATTTTATGTGACCCCACAAGACACTTTTACCCAAGAAAAATCTAGCTCACTCCTGGTGATTTAAAACTAAGCAGATTCACATCCTACTGAATAATCTATAATAACTGTTGTGAAGTCAATATTATTTCTAAAAAGGCATTTTGAGTATCATATTAAAAACAAGCCATTCACTGTCCAGAATTTGAGTTCTGGCTGCTGACTGCATACAATAATTCAAAAGCTTTGGAATTTAAAATTCTACTATCAGCAAGCCACAATTTTTTAACTTAAGAAATCCTTCTAAGAAGGAATAACTTTAGACAATTTTTAAAAACATAATTTCTTTAATGCTTACCTGGTAAGCCGTTTCGGTTGAGGTCGCTCTCCAAATTTCCTAAAAAAAAAAAAAAGGCAGAAGTTTATAATTTTAAAAAGTGTTTAGTCATAATTATACCGTGAAATACTATTCCAATTTTACAATTTTTAAAAATGTTTTGGAATTTGGTGTCTGTCTTTCTAATTTTCTAGATAGAATACTCCTCTTTGCAATAGCTTTTCACACAATAGCAGAGGCGCTTTTTCTTTTTTTTTTGGAACACTAGATAACTTTGCTTATATCAGGAGGCCTTTGCCACAGCACTGACCAGAAGTGCCAACAATAAGCAGTTGTTATTAACATACAGAAATTAACAGACTTATCTCTGAGCTGACAATCACAGTGGATGTTTCCCATCAACAGAATTTCTCAGAAATCTGTTTTTCCTTAATAACTTCTTACAAAAAGGATCACGACGTATTTTATACATGCCAGTATAGAATTATAAGAAAAATCTCTCTCGTGGAACGTAGCCAAGCATGATCAAAAAATATCCTGCTATACACTTAACGGTTTTTAGCCATGAATCGTTTTGAGACAGTGGTTATTTTTTCAGTGCTTTAAGAGTGTTCTTGAGAGAGACTACATTCTTTACACTATGTTAAGAATTTCCACAAAAAAGTTTTATTTACATAAAACACTGAATTTACTCAGGCCAGAAACATTTTCATTAACAAAAACATCCTCAGATTAAACCAAAATGGTCAGGTAAAAGATGTGAAATTAGGCAGGCTGTACCCAGCAATGTACATCTGCTCAACATTGTAAGGAAGTATAACCACAAGCTAAAATGAGGACAAAGAAAAAAGAAAAAAAAAAAGCCAGCTTAGCTTAACACCTTTTTATCTAAAAATAAACTGTGGCATAGGACACTCTGCTTCTGCTTGCCAGTGTTCATAAATATCTCTATGACTTGCCAAACTCTTTGTTAAATGGGCATATCTTTCCCTTTATGCGTACTGGATAGTGAAAATAAACCCTCTCCTAATACTGTCCTAAACAGTGTTGGAGGCTCCCTAGGACAAGAACTTGATCATTAAATGTGACAAGAAAGTTCCTTGTTCGTGCAGTGAATCTCTCCTGAACTCTACCACAAGTGGTGCTGGAATGATTTGGTGCATTCCAGTGTCATTTGAGTAATTCTAGAAATGTAAAAATACATAGCTATTGCCATGCATACAGTTGAGCAGAAGAGCACTCTCCTGAAAAGACAGTGACAAGAACATTAAGCAGGTTTTGAAGTTATTTTTCAAGACTTGAGAAATCAGTCTTCTGAAGTACTGGCAGTCCACTTCATGTAGAGGAATTGAATAAACAAGAAGTGGTCAAATTATTTTTTTTCAGGTTAAACAATGAAATTAGAATTTACTTCTCTGACCAGAGAGAAGCTCCTTTCACGTTTTACTTTATTGTTAGTATAGTGTTCACTTGTTCGGCTTTATTTTAAGCGAACCATTGAAACTAAAATTCTTGCTGACAGATTTTTATGTATTTTAAATTTAAAGGTCCACTGGACACATACTTCATTTATATTTCTCTCTGTGGTACACATCACTGCATTGTCATATTTGGAATGCAGGTACTAGGCAACTGGAAATCCCAAACAGCTTCGCAGTTTGGCAGCAGCAAATTTATATCCCAAAGCCTTTCTGCTTCTACCACTTATCGTTTCAGGATCTGCCCAGCTTCAGCACACGAGCACGCCCTGTGCCTCTGATTTCCCCTGGATAGCAGTGTGAGTAGGTGTGCCTATCGCCCCGCCTCCAGGACTAACCATGGAGTTAGTGTTCCCTCCAGAAGACCTAGGATCATGGTATCTGGCAGAGGATTCACCTGTCTGACTCACTGACTAGACAACAAATTACCTTTAAGCAATACTCTGCAGACAAACAACGTCCCTATAGATTAGCTCCCTGATTTTGCATAGAACTGCAGTCTTTGTTTCAATCCCTCTACACATTTTAATTGACCATGGAAAAAAAAATTGAGAGGTGCCTATTTTGGAGCAAAGGAGACATTACGCACGCTGCACTTGCTTGTACAACAGATCCAAACCAAGATGAGGTCACTAGTTCATCAGAAACTGCATTTACACAAAAAAAACTCCCAGACAAAACCTTACACTCCCCTAAGGCAACATCTGCCCGTGCAGAACTCTGGAGCGAGGCAGATATATTCCCCTTGCACATACTGCTCCCTGAAAGAGCTTTGTTAACAAGGCATGCACACAAAACAGTTGCAATTACTTAAAGAAAAAAAACCCCAACTTTTCTCTAGTCAAATCCTGAACACACAGCACAGGGAAAAAGTACCAAAGCACCCATTCTTCAGAGGCAGAGCTGAAGTACTGAGTCATTCTGGACATGCACTGGGTAAACTCTGATCTGATGCTCAGTACAGTCCCTTTAAAAATCACATGGCAACTTCCCCTAGCGTCTCCATCCAAAATAAAATTAATGATGTCATTGTAATTAACCTGTGAACAAACCTTCCAAGGAGGTGATGCAAACTAAACCTTTTAGTTAGGAATTTTAGTACTCCTTCAATATACAGAGGGAGAGGTAGAATACTGACTCATATTTACTTGAAGTCCAATTTTTTACTGTCTCATATAAATTCCACTACTTATTCCTCAACAATAAACCCTAGACTTGGTGTCTTGATCAACTTAGATTAGTAGATGTTTTCACAAGGATAGCTACAAATCAAGTTACTTAAATAAGTGACAAATACCACAGAATAGTTTGGGTTGGAAGGGACCTTAAAGACCATCCAGTTCCAACCCCCTTGCCATGGGCAGGGACACCTTCCACTAGACCAGGTTGCTCAAAGCCTCATCCAGCCTGGCCTTGAACACTTCCAGGGATGGGGCATCCACAGCTTCCCTGGGCAACCTGTTCCAGTGCCTCAACACCCTCTCCGTGAAGAACTTCTTCCTGATATGCAATCTAAACCTCCCCACTTTCAATTTAAACCCGTTACCCCTTGTCCTGTCACTACAGGCCCTTGTCAAAAGCCGCCCCTCCAGCTTTCTTATTCATATGTACATGACAAGGTTGATTGACACTGCATCTTATGTATCCAGTAAAATCCTCCCTAGCTCAACAGCAATAGTCGAAGTTAGAATTCAAGATGATTAAGAACAGAATAGGAAATACACACATTTCCATGTCACAGAATTCTTCTGTCACACGCCCACAACTCTGAAAACTGCCTGAAGTTCACTGAAAACATTGTGAGGGGAAAAAAGTTATCTCAGGGTAATAAAAGAGAACACATAAGCCAGTATGGATGATCAATAGTTTTCATATGCCATTGGCTAAAACTCTTTAGCATTTTGCAAGAGTAAGACTGTGAGGAAAGTGAAAAATGGAGGCAAAGACCTAAGAGACTAATAAATTAAATGCAAAATGGGAAAAGGAGATGGTTATGCTTTCTCACTCACAAACACAGGAATTAGGGAGTATAACTAATATCTGAAAATTTCATTTCAGAATGAAACAGTTTCCTTGCTCTGCAAGCACTGTCAAAACTACGTTGTGAAACATATAGCTAGAGGATACTGTGTAGGCTGAAAGCACAAATAGACAGAAAAGATTAAACAAAGGTCTGGTACAGAACTCCTTTAGCTTCTTGTAAGCATGAAGACCTATTTTTTTACAACTTTGTTCTCACAAAACATAACCCATGTTCTACCAGCAGCAAAGAAGTTACCAACAGGGGGGGAAAAAAAACCCAAACCAGTCTACATTTACCCTGTCTTTCATATTCTTTCCTTAATCATCCATTAACAATGGCTAGCAGGCAGTCCAGTGTGTATCCTCCTATGAACCAGATACATTCCACAGCAGCAATTGCATCCAAAGTTCCAGATTTTCAGCCACATTGCAAAATTCAAAATACACAAACAAGACATGAAAACAAAAAACAAAAGTACCACATGTATTTAATGGTTCATCTGACCTACTCCTCCATCTGTTTGCAACTTGATGTAGATACCTGCACTGACAAAGCAACCTGAGGTACAAAATTTATCAGTAACTATCACGCAGAAGAAAGACTGAGGCGTTTTAATTTTTCTGATGTTAAGAGAGTCTGTTTCAAAGTGCAAGAAACTCATTATCTATGGTTTTGTACCAGATGACAGATACTGTAAAAGTCCTGATTGCTATTATTTCAAACTTTTGTATTTGACTGGCATGTTGAAAAATGCGCCAGTTCAGACATTTCAAGGTTACCTGTCAGAGATTACATAAATGGCAACATTTTACTTGCATAGGTTTTCCCTGGATTTCACAGCTCTGGAATTTTTTTTATGGTCAGTATTTCTATTCCTCCTCTTTGTTTACATCTTGAAAACATGCAGATTCATGGATAACAAAAATATATAGGAGAGGAAACTAGGAATGTATCATAGTTTTATTCTTATAGTGGTAATTAAACACACTAAATATATATAATTTGAAATCCTAATTATAAGTTACATATCTTTATATCTGAATGCTCAACAAGTTCCTTTCCTGTTTAGAATTTTTATCTTACCATCCAAGACAAAGCATTGTTTCAGGTGTGCTGTACTGGAATTCTGGACGTCCCATCAAGTTGCTGTTCCAATTCACAAAATGAATGAAGTGTAAACTGCATTTTATAACTATTTCCCTAACATGCTGCACACAAGTGTGATCATTAGTCACACCATAATTATTTGCTGTTGCCACAAGTTATACTTGTTCTAATAATTCTTTTCCCAGTCATCTATTTTCTCAAACCACTAGTTTGTATTCTAGTATATAATTTTTTATTTATCTTCTCATGCTTTGCATAAATTAATTTCACTTCCACACGTTGCACTGTAGTAATAGCTTTTCTCCCACATCATGTCCCAAAATCCTTCTTCCCAAGTCCTTCCTTTTCATTTAGCAAGTACCAGTTTGTCATTCAAACTTCTATTCTCCATTCACAGAATGGGAAGTGAACTTACTCTTATTTCCTCTCTACTGCCCCTCAGGTAACTATG